GCCAACACCGCCCATACCACTACATGAATGACATATTTTATTCATTCTAGGGTATATATCATGTTTCTATGTTATTTATATTGTTATGTCATATTAGATGAACTGTGATAGATAAATAAGCCTGTAGATGATATTAGCTTAATTATTCATGAAGTATTTTGCCCGGTCTCCAGACACACTCGTCCACCGCCGACACTGCCCATACCACCACATGAATGACATATTTTATTCATTTTAGAGTATGTATCAGGTTTGTATGTTATTTATATTGTTTATTATGTCATATTAGATGAAGTGAGATAGATAAATAAACCGTAGAGTTGATATTAGCGAAATTATTGAAGTACAAAATTCCACTGGAATGGATTAATTGCATTTCAGTTAATTTAAATGAGGAAAATTGACTCTGCAAACGAGCAAATCTAGTTGCGAGCAAGGTCATGGAATGGATTAAACTCGCAAGTAGAGGTTCCACTGTACGTATAAAGATACACAACATGTCCCTCCAAACTGCTAATATCCCGAACCCCTCCTTTAGAGTGCAGGCATTGTACTTCCCATTCCCAGGACTCAAGTCCGGCTTTATAAAAATAACCGGTTTCCCTGAATCTCTTCACTAAATATTACCCTGCTCACACTCCAACAGATCTTCAGGTCCCAAATACCATTCGTCTCCACTCCTATCGAACATGCTCATGCACACCTGCTGGAAGTCCAAGCCCCTCGCCCACAAAACCTCCCTTACCCCTTCCTTCCAATCTTTTCGAGGACGACCCCTACCCCGCCTTCCTTACCCTACAGATTTTAACGCTCTCCATGTCATTTTACTTTGATCCATTCTCTCTAAATGAGCAAACCACCTCAACAACCCCTCTTCAGCCCTCTGACTAACACTTTTATTAACTCCACACCTTCTCCTATAGCCATGAACCAGTAGATAGGTCTAACATAGTACTCACTATCGATAACGAGGTATGCCACGAAACATCTAAGGTGGCAAATTGCTTTAATTCCTACTACACATCTGTTGCATCAACACTAGTAAGTAAACTATCAGCTGCATCAAATACCTTTAACATAGACTCTGATAAGTTTCAAACATAATATACCAATAAAGGGGTAACCCCAAACAGTTGTCAACTAGTAAGTGTATCTCATGACTTCATTCAAAAAGAACTAAGCAGGTTAAACCCAACTAAGAGCACAGGCCCTGATAACATCCCGTCTAAGTTCCTAAAAGATGGTGCTTCTTAACTGTCAATCCCTATTGCTCACATAATAAATCTATCAATCACCACTAATACCGTACCAGAGGGGTTCAAGGAGGCCAGAGTTACTCCTATCTTCAAGAAAAATAGTAGGTCTGATGTAAGCCACTATAGGCCTGTTAGTATACTCAGTATAATATCCAAAATTCTGGAGAGGGTGGTGTACTCTCAAGTAGTTAAGTACCTTAATGACAAAAACATTCCTCATAGCTATCAATCGGGCTTTAGAAGATCTTACTCAACCGACACCTCCCTAATTAATCTGATGGATTACATGAGAACTGAAATGTCCAAGGGGAACCTCATAGGTATGATAACCTTAGACCTGCAAAAGGCCTTCAATACTGTCAACCACAATATATTATGTAAGAAACTTCAAGCTATCGGTAGAGGTTCTGTAGACTGGTTTAAGTCCTACCTTAGCAACAGGAGACAAATTGTCAAAATCAACAAAATGGAATCAGAACCCCTGCCGATAACATGTGGAGTTCCCCAAGGTAGTATTCTGGGTCCCTTATTATTATTATGTTATGTCAATGATATGCCTATCAGTGTCAAGTGCAAACTCCTACTGTATGCAGATGACAGTGCTCTGTTAGATATAGCTAATGTTTTAACACTGGAACTGGAGTCCTGCAGCAAATGGTTAGTAGACAACAAACTATCATTACACCTCGGGAAAACTGAAGCCATTCTCTTTGGCACGAAACATAAACTGAGAAGGGTAAATAATTTTAATGTCCAGTGTAATGGGGAGCCCATCACTTTGGTTTCATCAGTAAAATATCTGGGAATCCCCTTTGACCCCATGCATGTCAGGAGAATTGATAGGGAACAGTGTAGTAAAGAAAGCGAATGCCAGACTGAAGTTCCTGTATAGACAAGCACAGTGTCTACTGAGGCTCACAGGACCCTATGTCTAGCCCTTATACAATGCCATATGGATTATGCTTGCTCTTCATGGTACTCTGCCTTGACAAAAAAAACTGAAAGATAGACTGCAAATCACCCAGAACAAAATCATAAGATTGATCCTGGGTCTAGGTCCAAGAGAGCATGTAGGCCAGAATGAATTACAGCAGTTGGATATGCTGAATGTTGAAGACAGAGTAAAACAACTGAAGCTAAATCATGTTTATAAAATTGCTCACAAACAGTGTCCAGAATATCTTGCTGTCAATTTTGTCAAGGTTGGGAACCGCAGCAATCATAGTACTAGGGGGAGAGAGCACAACTTTGTAGTACCCACAGTCATTGGCCAGGCTTCAAACACCTTTTATTGTACAACAATAAAGGAATGGAACAGATTGCCTGCACATGTCAAAGCCAGTCATAGCATGAACCAGTTCAAGAAGAGTGCCAAAAGGTGTTTGATGAATGTAGCTACAGAAAGGGAGGGGAATAATTTTCTATTTTTTAGCCAATGCTTGTAAATTTTACCTTATTCCTAGTAATGACCCTCGAATTGTAGATAGTCGTAATGACCCTCGTGTAGTAGATAGTCTTTTTAGAATGATAATAAGATGTTATCTTCATTATAGAATAATAAGAAAATATTATAACCTTTATATTATAATAATAAGGTAAAAGGACCCCAATGGAAATGAGCCACTCTGACTTTTTTGAGTTCTACTAGGTTCTCTACACACATGCTGCTATGTATGATAATTCTATGTAACTGTATTTGTGTATACCTGAATAAACTTAGTTACGTACTTATTCCTAATTTCCACACTCCGAATTTTCTGCATAATATTTACACCACACATTGCCCTTAGACAGGACATCTCCACTGCCTCCAACCGCTTCCGCTGCAGCATTTACAACCCAAGCTTCACACTCATTATAAGAGTGTTGGTACTACTATACTTTCATATATTCCCTTCTTTGCCTCCATAGATAACGTTTTTTGTCTCCACATACACCTCAGTGCACCACTCATTTACTTGTGATGAGTGGATAGAGGTTCAGACTTCCACCACTGTTATGAATGACCCATACATATTTACCACTTTGCATCAAAATAATAACTCCAATATTTCATTTCAGTTTTTTAATTAAAAAAACTTGCTTTGATCAGTTAGTTTACTTTCATATTGTGAAAAAAAACTAATAATGTTTTCATAATTTTTCTTGCTTTATGCCATCAATAAAATGTTGCTGAAGGGCTTTTCATCCAAGAATAATAATAAAAATAATAGTTTATTTCATCATGATACAATGTAGAGATATGGGTGACATTCAGGTGTACATGCTGAAAACTCTGTTATACAGAGCATTTTGGGCAAACTTAACACTAAAAGGGGCAATAACTAATTGTTTGCTTATAAACTGGTGAGGTTTGAACCTGCTATCAGAGTCTCAAAACTCATGTTTGCTTATATATACAGTCTGTAAGAGGTCATAATAAACTTGGGAATTACAAAAAGGGCAAACAAGCATATTAACTCATTACTTAAACCATTTGTCATATTTAATTGTTGTAATAAAAACAGGTTGGATTATGAATACAGGTAATGAGGATTCCACAATATATTTACTCATTTTGTAACATACTCATCATATTTAATAGTTGCGAATATTACACATAATGAGAATAAGAATATATGGTTTTATATACTTATGGTAATGAGAATATGAAAATACAGCGGTACCCCGAGTTGCAGCCATAATTCATTCCAGAAGGCTGTTTGAGTGCTGTTACCGAATGAATTTGTTCCCATAAGGAATAATGTAAATTAGATTTGTCCGTTTCAGACCCCCAAAAATACACTTACAAAAGCACTTACAATAATAGTTGGGAGTTGTACAAAACTCGAGGTTGTCGAGCTTAATTTGTTCCAGATGTTGATTTGACTACCAAAGCAATTTTTCCTATAAATAATAATGTAAATAGAATTAATCTGTTCCAGACCCTAAATGACAATACCATGGTACCCCAAGTTTCGGCCATAATTCGTTCCAGAAGGCTGTTCGAGTGCCGTTACCGAACAAATTTGTTCCCATAAGGAATAATGTAAATTAGGTTAGTCCATTTCAGACCTCTAAAAATACACTTAAAAAAGCACATAAAATAATACACTTACATAATTGTTTGAGTTGGGAGCTGTACGAAACTTTGGGTACCACTGTATAATAACTTATTAAAAATGTACTTACTACTACATAAAATTGTTAAAATGAATACTAGAAGAAATGTGAACTGAAATACTGTACAGTAAATGAAAATTTAGTTGCCTCTTGCCTGTCAGAGGAGAGCTAATGGCATACTGGGAGCAGGAGATGGAGGAGAGGAGAGGGTATGTTACTGCTTGGAAGGAGAGTCACTTTCTATTAATGTCAACTGTGCTTCAGGTGTTGTTTCTCTTCTTTGTCTCTTTTTATCACTGATATTGTATTCTGGCACACTAGTTCTTTGTCTCACTAAAAACCTGTCCAGTGAGGTTTGTTTCAGGCTCTGTTTTAACACTTGTTTAATTTGAGACATTACTCTGTCATTGTACATGTTCGAGAGATGGATGGCTACTACTTTCTCTGGATGGTATTTTTCGGCAAACTCCTGCCTAGTCCTGAAAGTGTTGAATAATGATGAAAGTTTTTCTTTCCTTTTGAGTCACCCTGCCTTGTGAAATGACCAATGTGTTGAAAAAAAAATAATTAGCCTATTTATTATTAATTAATTGATCTTAGATTTATACCAATTTTATATTAATTGAATATTATATATTGTAGGAAGCATGGAAGGAGAGAATATCCAGAGTGCTCGAGCAACACTGCTGCTCTTCCTCAAGAGTTTACCCATCGGCTGCTTCTTCAACATAGTCAGCTTTGGCAGTACTTTCTCTTGGCTTTTTTCTGAGTAAGTATAATATTTTTTTTTTTTTTTTTTTTTTTTTTTTACACAGGGTTTGACAAGGTTAGGTTGAGGATCCCTAGCTTCATTGACAAGCTATTTAAAGGTTAAGGAATCCTAACTTTATTGACAAGCTAAGAGCTGTTACCTACATCAGCTCATTTGAAAGCATTTTTATTGTTATGAGACATACAAGTAGGGAACAGGATGAAGTTGGAGCCATCTGTGGGCCAGCATTTTCATCTGATCCACTGACTTTATCTCACTGACATCGTAATGCTGTACGAATGTGTTCCAGACTCGAGTCATTGTGGGGATAAATGATCTCAGATGAAGTGATGTTCTGGAGAAGGGTACAGCCAGAGTGAAGTTGCTGCTTTCTGCCCGTCTTGTGGTATAGAAGCTTGCTTCTCGCTGTCCTTGAAGTGAATCCAAGTGTGGTACTTGGACAATATTGGCCTTGTACATAACAGTAAGGCCACTCGCATCCCTCCTGTGTTGAAGGCTCTGCCGAAATGACAGATCTATCCAGGATTGGTCCAGGCGAGAGATGAGATATTTTGCTCTGTTCTCTACTCTGTTGAGCAGTCGCAGATGAGAGGGGAGGGGGGGGCAGGGAAACCAAGAAAGTGGAGCATACTCAAAGTGTGAGCATACTTGTGCCTTGTACAAAATCTTGCAACCCCTATTGTCAAGCAGATGCGAAATACGGCAAAGTGCTGTAAGCTTCCTGGCTGCCTTGTTTGCAAGATTTACAACGTGGTTCTTCATGGTCAGTTTGGAGTCAGATTTCACCCCAAGGATATCAGCTTCTTTCCCAGGTGCCAACACCCTCTCAATAATCTTTACTACTGCACCAGCATTACCATTATGGTGCCTAGAGACCATCATTTGTGTTTTCTCAGGTGCAAATGTTACTTGCCATCTATTTCTCCAAGCTGACATAGCTTTTCGCTGGTGATTGATGTAGCTTAGAGCAGCTGGCATTTCTTCTCTTGGATAAGTAAATGTCAGTGTACAGTCATCTGCATATGCATGCGATTCTGGGATGAGATGAAGGAGGTCATTGAAGTAGACATTCCATAACAATGGTCCCTGCACGCTTCCTTGTGGAACACTTGCCCCAATAGGATGTCTTGCTGATTCCGTTTCATTGAGAACTACCCTTAGAGATCTACCATGAAGATAATCACTGAGGAGACATAACGTAGAGCCTGCAATTCCCAGTGCTTGCAGATTTGCTAAGAGGCCCTGGTGCCACACCCGGTCGAAAGCACCAGCAATGTCCAGTGCTACCACAAAGCTGACTTTGGATTCATCCATTGACTTGTGCCACTTAATGGAGAGGTTTAACAACAGATCAGCAGCAGAGTAACCTTTCCTGAAGCCATATTGACGGTCACAAAGTAGTGAGTGGTAGTCAGAAAACTGTCATTTGTCTTGAGATTATTGTCTCGAGGATCTTGCCAGTGATTGACAGGAGTGACACTAGTCTGTAGTTGCTGATTTCTGCTCTGCTCTTCTTTTTAGTGATAGATGTGAGTTAGAGGTGCTGCTATCTGGTCTGCACATCTTCTCAGAAATCTTGGACTCAGCTTGTCTGGGCCCACAGCCTTTTCTTGGTCAAGCAATTTAAGAAGGAAATACACCTCCTGTTGCCTTATTGTCACCACTGACAATTTTGACACAGTTCTTCCAGCTAGCCAAGGAGGGTCCCTTGCTGGATCAGGAACTTGCATTTTGGTAGCAAAGTGTTCAGCAAAGAAGGCCACTTTCTCTTGATTACTAGTAGACGTGATCCTATCCTCTCTCCTCTCTTTCCTCTTTTTTTTTTTTTTTTTTTTACACAGGGTTTGACAAGATTAGGTTAAAGATCCATAGCTTTATTGACAAGCTATTTACAGGTTAAGGATTCCTAACTTTATTGACAAGCTAAGAGCTGTTACCTACATCAGCTCATTTGAAAGCATTTTTATTGTTATGAAACATACAAGTAGGGAACAGGATGAAGTTGGAGCCATCTGTGGGCCAGCATTTTCATCTGATCCACTGACTTTATCTCACTGACATCGTAATGCTGTACGAATGTGTTCCAGACTCGAGTCATCCTGGGAATTAATGATCTTAGATGAAGTGATGTTCTGGAGAAGGGTACAGCCAGAGTGAAGTTGCTGCTTTCTGCCAGTCTTGTGGTATAGAAACTTGCTTCACGCTGGCCTCGAAATGGATCCATGTGTGGTACTTTTACAATATTGGCCTTGTACATAACAGTAAGGCCACCCACATCCCTCCTGTGTTGAAGGCTCTGATGAAATGGCAGATCTATCCAGGATTGGTCCAGGCGAGAGATGAGACGTCTTGCCTTGTTCTCTACTCTGTCAAGCAGTTACAGATGAGAAGGGAGACAGGAGAACCAAGAAAGTGGAGCATACTCAATGTATGAGCATACTTGTGCCTTGTACAAAATCTTGCAACCCCTATTGTCAAGCAGATGTGAGATACGGTGAAGTGCTGTAGGCTTCCTGGCTGCCTTGTTTGCAAGATTTACAACGTGTTTTTTCATGCTCTGTTTGGAGTCAGATTTCACCCCAAGGATATCAACTTCTTCCCCAGGTGCCAACGCCCTCCCATTCATCCTTACTACTGCACCAGCATTGCCATCATGGTGCCTAGAGATCATATCATTTGTGTTTTCTCAGGTGCAAATGTCACTTGCCATCTATTTCCCCAAGCTGATATAGCTCTGAGCTGGTGATTGATGTAGCTTAGAGCAGCTGGCATTTCTTCTCTTGGATAAGTGAATGTCAGTGTACAGTCGTCTGCATATGCATGAGATTCTGGGATAAGATGAAGAAGGTCATTGAAGTTGACATTCCATAACAATGGTCCCAGAACACTTCCTTGTGGAACACTTGCCCCAATAGGATGTCTTGCTGATTCTGTTCCATTGAGAACTACCCTTAGAGATCTACCATGAAGGTAATCACTGAGGAGACATAGCGTAGAGCCTGCAGTTCCCAGAGCTTGCAGTTTTGCTAAGAGGCCCTGGTGCCACACCCGGTCAAAAGCATCAGCCATGTCCAGTGCTACCACACAGCTGACTTTGGATTCATCCAGTGACTGGTCCCACTTAGTAGAGAGGTTTAAAAACAGATCAGCAGCAGAGTAACCTTTCCTGAAGCTATGTTGACGGTCACAAAGTAGTGAGTGGTAGTCAAAAAACTCGGTCATTTCTCTTGAGATTATTGTCTCGCGGAGCTTGCCAGTGATTGACAGGAGTGACACTGGTCTGTAGTTGCTGATTTCTGCTCTGCTTTTCTTTTTGTGAACAGGGACTACATTTGCCTCTTTCCACAGAGAAGGCCATTTACACTGTACTAGGCAGTGCTGAAAGATGCGAGTTAGAGATGCTGGTAGCTGGTCTGCACATCTCGGCAATCTTGGGCTCAGCTTGTCTGGGCCCACAGCTTTTTCTTGGTCAAGCGATTTAAGAAGGAAATGCACCTCTTCCTGCCTTATTGTCACCACTGACAGTTTTGACACAGTTCTTGCAGCTATCCAAGGAGGGTCCCTTGCTGGATCAGGAACTTGCATTTTTGTAGCAAAGTGTTCTGCAAAGAGATTGCTTTCTCTTGACTACTAGTAGAGGTGGTCCCATCCTGTCGATTTAGAGGTGGAATGAGTTCATCAGGCAAATAACCTTGTCTGTCCTTGACCAGGGACCACCAGGTTTTGGAGCCTACCCTACCTGATGCTAGCTTTCTTCTTGTGTCCATCTCCCATTTAGTGATGGCCCACTTTTGAATGTCACCCATATGCCTACAGGCTTGCCTGTGCAAGTTCCTGTTATAGGTGGTAGGATGTCTCTTATACCTTCGCCATGCCTCGTACTTAGCGGTAGCAGCCTCTCTACAACGAAAGCCAAACCAAGGCTGATCTGTAGGCTTCGTCACGTATTGCCGGTGAGGAATGTGTTCTTGCTGTAGATTAATGATGTGTCCAGTGAAGGCTTTCACTTGGTTGTCAACATCTCCTTGGAGAAAAGCATTCCAATTGGTGGTGGCAAGAGCAAAGGGCTAGCCAATTTCCTCTTTCCCATAGCCAGGTTGTGCGTGTGGACTCCTCACCTCGTTCTTTTGGGATCTTAAGTGTCGTAAAAACAGCCTTGTGGTCAGATGATCCAACGTAGCTGAGGGGTTGACAAGTGACTATACCTTCTGCTAGTTCACTCACTATTGGGTCAAGGGAGGAGCCAGAGATGTGAGTAGAGAAATCAGCAAAGTTTCTCATGTCAATACTGCAAGAAGGTCATCAAAGTCCCTCTGTATAAGGTGTTAATTGAGGTCACCAACAATTATGACATGTTGACAGTTGTGTTGTAGCAGAAGGGAGTCCACATTTTCCATTAGGAAGTTGATGGGGTCTGCATGTTGCCACTGAGGTCTGTACATTGCACATGCTAGTACAGAGGTACCAGTGTTTATGCATAGCTTGAACATCATTTCAAAATGAGTAGGGATGGGAACATCAATGTGCTGGGCATGTACACTTTTAGAGAAGCACACAGCAACACCTCCTCCTTGTCCTTGCCTGTCTCTTCTCATCCATGAGGTGTAGCCAGCAATTCTTGCAAAATTTTATGGAGTCCTGTCGTCAAAAAGTGTTTCAACAGCTATCATGTTGGGACATCGAGGGTTCACAAAATTGTGTGAGAGCTCTCCAACATTAGTAATGAAACCTTTAATGTTAGCCGACAGGATGCTGATAGACTGGCTCCTCATGATGTGGTCAGCTTGAGGTGGTGGGTGTGTAAGGCATGTAAGGTGCCTGTCCTCGAGAGAAGTAGGGCACTGAGGCAGCTGCAAGGATGTAGGTCTGTGGTCTTGTATAAGGCACAGTACCACCTGCTGGGCTGAGATAGGAGTAGCTGAGTGGGTGACGTGTGAATGTGTTCACCACTTCAGAGATCCTGCTGGTTTGTTCCGAGAACAGGTCTCTAAACAAGT